TCAAATTGGAAGGCGAATTCTTGAATGCCAGTTTTATCAGTCATTTCGCTGAACTTCGCTTCTTGGTGCCACTGTCGCGAATGATATGATTTCCCACCGAGTTGCCGCCTGGTTTTAATTTTTTTCTCTTACCCGCTTTACGTTCATCGTCTTGTGCGCAAATGCACCAATAGGATTGTCTTTTCTGTATGTGTTTACATACGTTTCTAAGCATAAACCAATCAGTCACGTTGTCTGCATGGCGCGTATTATTGATACGGAATAGGTAAAATGCGTTGCAAAATGGCATAATAAATATGCCATTTACTGTCTATGATTATGAACAAACACCATTTAAATGCAAGAGTAAAAATCTAGGGAGTAGAAAGTACAGATACTCGTGCTAAAATGTACGAAGTAAAAGTCGAAAGTTGACACAAAAATTAATAGTGAAGTAAAGTATAGATACCCGAAAATTCTACTTAAGTACAGTAACAAAGTATTTATACTTCGTTACTTCCCATCTCTGCTAATAACACATTAGCGCAAACAAAACGGCTGCATACACCGTAGAAGTTCTTGCTTGTTCACTGGCATGGGAAAGACGGTTCTAGTGTTATTAAGGGGGTAATCAGCATTACCTGCATAGCTGCATTTGTTCATTATTACATTATTTAACTTAACACACCACATCTTTAAATTCTCATCCTTGCATTAGAATATAGACCAGTTAATATTTTGATGGTATCTCGTGGTAATGCTGCATCATATGTTTTAAATTTACTACACACTGAATATTCAACTGAAGCTTGACATAAAAAATTATATCGCAAATCAAATCGTAATCGCAATGTCTGTCAGAAAAATCGCAATTCGATATTTTCCCCAAATCGTTCAGCCCTAACTACAATGCAATTCTTACTTGAATGCCTTCTTCACAGACTGGACGATTAACCAAATAAAGCAGCGCAACATTACAGTAACTAACAATAAATAAACCACTAACTTACGTGTACTATTAAAGCATTTATGTCATTAATTTAAACTTTATTTTACCTGGTAAATTAACTGAAAACCAGTTCTCACGGCTTTACGTAATATTCAGGAGAAATAGCAGATTACGCATCGGAACTGCCTGGGATACAAACGTCATGCATGTAACTAAACTCTTCAGCCAATAAGGGCAAAGGTGTGTCGTCACGGAGGCGGTTCCAGTTTGTGCAGCCGGGTGAGAGGTCGCAATGCATCTAACCGTAATGCATTGCATTACGGTTAGGATCAGAATGCGTTGCTTTAAGCCAGCGCTGTAAGAAAGTCGAATGCACCCAATGAGCGGACTGGCGAAGCAAACTGAAACGCGGACTTAATACAGAGGACTAATGAAAACAACCAGAAACAGTTGATCACATGGGGATCCCACACGAGGTTAACGAGGGGGCGTGGCACACGGAAGGAGCGGACGATCGGGGCAGGACAGGGGTAATGTTGGGATAAGATCTTTATCGTTTTGGAAGCCATTAAGAAAAAAATGCTGCTTTTGTCTTATCCTGTTCATTTTGTGTTTAAATGCTTTAAAAAAAAAAAAACAACATATTTAGGTGTAATTTTGGGGGGCCGGGAACCAATTAATTGGTTTTCCATTATTTCTTATGGGAAAAATTCGATCAGGACTTGAACTTTTTAGGATTCGATCCGGAGTCCGGAACGGATTAAGTTCGAGAACCGAGGTACCACTGTATATATACAGCATATTAAATATACAGCAATTTATATACAGCATATTAAAGTGTTAATCTCTGGTAGATAAGCGACATTGAATTGTAAAATGGACTTAATTTTCCCCTTTCTCCTTGTTTAGGTGGAGCAGGAGCGTCTGGACAAGGTATGGCCCAAGTTGCGGGTCTTGGCACGCTCATCCCCCACGGACAAGCATACACTAGTGAAAGGTAAAGCATGGCCCAGAATTTTATAGGCAAATAAATGCCTTTAATGAGTTGAGAACCAGGGTTTGTCTTTCGGTTTACAGAAAGTCATCTAAGACTTGACTGGATCAATTCACATTGGGAAAGGTTTTATAAAAAAATAATATATAGTGGGATTCATTTGAGCTTACTCATATACAACTGATGGCATGCAGTACTTTTTTTTCCCCAGATTAATTCATCTGGGTGTGGAGATGACTTCAGTCTTAGCTATGCCCTCCTTTCAGACAGGAATCCTTTTCCTTCATCTGTGAAATTTGTCATCCCTTTTATGTGTCAGTGTATTTACTCATGGTGAACCCAGGGGCTTTCAGACTTCTTCAAAGCCATCAGTTTTTTAATCTCATATTATGGGAGAGAGAGAGGTATATGTACGGGTGCTGGCTATGAATATCTAACTTGTATGTTGTTCAAGGAGTTACGAAACAGCAGTATAAGAATCTCCTTCTGGCTGAGACTTGCATAGGTTATGTAAACCTGCTATGTGCTGACTTCTTTGACACTTCTGTGGCACATAACACATAAGTACACCACATTTCAAATTATTATGCAAATTGTATTTAAGTGTCAAAAAGATTAAATACAATGGTACCTCGATTCTCGAACTTAATCCGTTCCGGACTCCGGATCGAATCCTAAAAAGTTTGAGTTCTGATCGAATTTTTCCCATAAGAAATAATGGAAAACCAATTAATTGGTTCCCGGGCACCCAAGTTACACCTAAATGTAATTTAGGTGTAACTGGTTTTCAGTTAATTTACCTGGTAAAATAAAGTTCAAATAAATGACATAAATGCTCTAATAGTACATGCAAGTTAGTGGTTTATTTATTGTTAGTTACTGTAATGTTGCACTGCTTTATTTGGTTAATCGTCCAGTCTGTGAAGAAGGCGTTCAAGTAAGAATTGCATTGTAGTATGACTCATTTCCTGGCATGTACAATTTATATTAGGTCATCGTTCACGGTTCAACTTCTGATATTCAGATCGAGTTCTAGGTCAAACTGGTTTGTTCGACTTTCAAGAAATTCGAGTTCTAGTGAGTTCAAGAACCGAGGTACCACTGTATTTTGTTTTTCAATTAAACTCATGGGGATGGTATTTTGTCTCAGGACTCTTTGGATCACTGAAATCAATCTTGGACACCTGTGATAGTTAGTTTGCCAGGTGAGCCCAATTAAAGGAAAAACTACTGAAGAAGGACATTCCACATTATTAAGCAGACCACCATTTTTAAGCAATATGGGAAAGAAAAAGGATCTCTGCTGCTGAAAGGCATGAAATAGTTGAATGCTTTGGACAAGGAATGTAAACCTTAGATATTTCACGAAAACTTTAGCATGATCATCGTACAGTTAAGAGATTTGTGGCTGAGTCAGAGCACACGGGTTCGTGCAGATAAAGGCACAACGAGGAAGGTTTCTGCCAGACAAATACATTGGATTAAGAGAACAGCTGCTAAAATGCCATTACAAAGCAGCAAACAGATATTTGAAGCTTCTGGTGCCTCTGGAATCCCGCGAACGTCAAGGTGTAGGATCCTCCAGAGGCTTGCAGTTATGCATAAACCTTCTATTCAGCCACCCCTAACCAATGATCTCCAGCAGAAACAGCTGCAATGGGCCTAGAACTACATGTAGACTAATTTTCAAACAGTCTTGTTCACTGATGAGTGCCATGCAACCCTGGATGGTCCAGATGGATGGAATGATGGATGGTTGGTGAACGGCCACCATGTCCCAACAAGGCTGTGACGTCAGCAAGGAGGATTTTGAGCCAGAATCATGGGGAGAAAGCTTGGTCGGCCCCTTTAGGGTCCCTGGAGGTGTGAAAATGACCTCTGAAGAGCATGTGGAGTTTCTGACTGACTATTTTCTTCCAAGGTACAAAAAGAACTGTGCTTTCCATATCTTCATGCATGACAATGCACCATCTCAGGCTGCAAGGAATATCTCTGCATCATTGGCTGCTATGAGCATAAAAGGAGAGAAACTCATGGTGTAGCCCCCAACCTCCCCTGACATCAATCCTATGGAGAACCTTTGGAGCATTCTCAAGCAAAAGATCTATGAGGGTGGGAGGCAGTTCACATCCAAACAGCAGCTCTGGGAGGCTATTCTCACGTCCTGCAAATAAATTCAAGCAGAAACTCTCCAAAAACTCACAAGTTCAATGGATGCAAGAATTGTGAAGCTGCTATAAAATAAGGGGTCCTATGTTAAAATGTAACTTGACCTGTTAAGATGTTTTTGATTGAAATAGCTTTTGATTTCAGGAAATATGACCTTTTAATGCTGCAAATTCAACAAGTGACCATTTTCAGTTCTATACAACCTTTAAAATGTTTTGAAACTCTGTTGTGCATAATAATTTGGAACAGTGCATTTTAAGTTTATTATTTTTGAAAAACATACTGTTATCATTGGGAGGTTTGTTCAGTAACATTTGAATTATAGTCTAATGGTTGATGACTAAGAAAATCAGAGAAAAATATCATTTGCATAATAATTTGGAAGGCGGTGTACGCTCTTTGTTTCTTCACTGACTGGCGTTTTGAGTTTAACGTGGCATCCTGCTTTGGGTAATTCAGTCCTGGTTTGTGTTTTTCAGGCATCATTGACAGTACAGTTGGGGACACACGGCAAGTAGTGGCAGTGACAGGAGATGGAACCAATGATGGCCCTGCCCTCAAAAAAGCTGATGTTGGATTTGCAATGGTAATTTAATGTTTTCCCCCTTTTCATATGTATATTATAAACAATAGTATGCATTCAATTAAATAAATCACAACATTGATAACTCCCTTAACATTATTGAATGATTTGTTACTTTAAAAAGTCCGCGTTGTCACTGGTTTTTATCAAAAAAGAACTTAACATGTTAACCAGATTTTTAAAAGTTATTCAATTTATGCATACGACACTGTGCAATAATAGTTAGAATTCAGTATTATTGTGCTGATGTGTATTGTAGTTACAAAATTTTTGAATGAAATTGAAAGATGTGTCTTTTGACTAGATATCACCTTATATTCTCACTTATCTCAAAGTCCTTTGAGAAGAAGCTGCTCATCTGAAAACATATTAACATGAGTTTAACATTTAATAAAGTAAACAGCTTTGTGGCTGCCGGGATTGCTGTAGAGGTTGCTGGGATTGCTGCACTGTGAGGGAGTGGTGTAGATGCGGGGTGCACTTGTTGTGTTGTGCGCCTGTTAAAGCGGTTGATTGGAATTATTTGGAAGTATATTTGAGTGCTTGTGTGCCAGTATGGTTACGTGGGTGGTGGTTGTTACATTTTTTTTTCGGTTGGCGTGAGTGCTTGTCTGTCTTTGTTAATAAATAGCTGAGTGTTACTGACAGCTGAAGGGTGTCGCGTGAGCGGTGTTTCTGTGCGCGTACCTTCGTAACAAACACCACGGAGGTAATATCTAATATCGGTAACATTAACTCGGAAAAGGACAGTAGCTCCTGAAATTTGTTCGGTCACCAGTTGGGGCCGGGAGGACATTATCCACTTTTTTCCCTGCTCCAGCAGTAGCCTGCTTTGAGAGGGTTTTTTGTGGTTTTTTGGCCTCTGAAGAGCAACTTTGCTTTATTTTAGTTAAACATGATTCAGTAGGAAGTTATTCTCGGGTAAGTAATTGTTAATTTGGTTATTTTAGAAGTTTAATTTCTAAGGTTGTTATCTCTGACCCTTTCGGATACTTTAAAAAGTTCCGCTTTAACGCAAGTCTTAATTTAGTGTTTTGTTGTACTTGGCACTTAATTTAATTAACGTATAGTTAATGTAATAAAGTAAAAGTTAAATAGTTAAAAATAAATATACTGGGCTGGGAGTAAAAGATGGGGTCATAGTGGGTTAGGTAATTATGGGGCCAGCTCAGTGTTGTGTTTGTAAGATGTTTGCCCTTCTGGATGTTTGCGTCCAGTCGGACTTCATCTGCGAGCAGTGTAAGTTAGTGGACTCACTCATGGTCAAGGTTCGTGACCTTGAGGAGCAACTGGCTCTCATCCAACACAACTAGGAGATAGAGGAGAGAGTTAATACGCCTTTTAGGGAGACGGTGTACGTCACAAGTGGGGACGAGAGAGCTGGGTGAACGTAGGTCATAGACGTAGAAAAGGGCGTACACAGTTCACAGAGGTGGCATCACCTGAAGTGACCATGTCTAACCGCTTTCAGGTGCTTCCAGCTTTAGAGCCGGAAGAGACTGGGGAGGCAGGAGGGTCCTTGGGCACTGAGGAGCCCCCTCCCCCCAGGAAGAGAGAAGTTGTGATAGTAGGGGATTCAGTTATAAGAGGTGTAGACAGTTATGTATGCACCCGTGATAGAGGGTCACATATGGGGTCTTGCCTGCCTGGTACCCAGGTAGGGGACCTTCCAAATCGAGTGGACAGGCTTTTGGCCCCAGCCGGGGTGGATCCAGTGGTCGTGGTGCATGTTGGCACCAATGACATAGGCAAGGGCAGGAGGGCTGTTCTGCAGGATAAATTTATAGAAGTTTCGGATAAGCTTAGAAGTAGAACGTCCACGATGGTATTCTCTGGAATACTTCCCATGCCACGTGCGAGTCAGGTTAATTTAGCTGAGATAAGGGGATTAAATGTGTGGGTAAAATGGTGGTGTAGGAAAGAGGGGTTTAGGTTTATGGGGCACTGGAATACCGTCTGGAACAGGTGGGACCTGTTCAAGCTAGATGGGTTGCATCTGAACCAGAGGGGAACCAGTGTATTGGGGAGAGGTAGTTATGAATATAGGTGGGGAGAGACAGAAAGCCCCAATTAATATTAAAAGTAGGCACTGTAAAAGACCTACCCTTTGCAGTCTATACTTAAAGGCTAGGAGTATTAGAAACAAAATTCATGATTTAGAGGCTTTAATTTCTCCAGACTCTCATGACATTATAGGAATAACAGAAACATGGATCAGTGACAATGATGGTGAGGAATATAATATGATGGTTACACATTGTTCCGTAGAGACCAGATAGGCAAGAAGGGAGGTGGTGTTGCAGTATACATAAAAGAAAACATGCAGGCAAGGGAGCTCACTTATAATAAATAAAAGTACAGAAGCTGTATGGGTAAAACTAGATGCTAAAAACTCAAATGGCCTAATTGTCGGTGTTTGTTTTAGAGCACCTGATGTAGCTGCAGAGGAAAGCAGAATGTTATATGACAATATCAGGATTATGAGTAATAAAAATGATGTGGTGGTTATGGGTGATTTTAATTTAC